AGTATCAGTGATTTAACTAAAGGGTGTTCCAGCTGCCAACATTTGTTCTAAACCATCTCTTCACAGCAGGAACGTTGTGTTTTCACAAAAGCAACGAGGTAGGAGTGCTTAAACTGCTGCTGTTGCTCCATATATTCAAATCGTCCTGGTAGTGTTTACTCATTGTGTGTTGTGTTCAGTCATTCAGGCCCAGCTCCATTTCCTTACAGTACTCTGTATTGTCAAAATCATGCCTGGGGTGCAGAGCAGTAGCCAGCCCTGGCCAGCTTGGTCGGAACAAATTGGGTAGTTACTGCTCTTGCTCTCCGGACTCCTTAACATGACAGCTATAAATACCTGTATGTTCTGGACAAACTGAATGAAAACCTTATTTTGAAAAAGGTTAGCTAGCTTTGTCATGGACTGTTTGGGAATAGTGATGATAGTAGTAATGATAACAGTAAGCTGACTGTGAAATTCATCTGGTCTCAGTTTAGCGAAACATTGAATCCCATGCTCAACTTTTTAAGCACGTGTTCCTGAACATTCCTGCTCACCAGGGTAAAGCATATGCCATAGCTCCTTGCTTTTTAATTGCTTGATTCCAGAATGTGCTGTTATGATGTTTATTTGAGGTGTGCTGCTATTTCTGGTTTGGACTTGACAGAATAAGCCTTTGGAACTAGCAAATGCTGAAGAATTGCTGACATGTGAATCATTCAGTATGATTCTGGGGCTTGCTGAGTGGTGTTAACCTCTTTGTTTACTATGTATTTTGCAAGCTGGTTTGTCTGTCTTTCCCACTGTTTAACCCCTTTTCCACAGTACTGCATCACAGGGAGCAGACTCAGCTGTGTGGGGTCTCTGGTGGCCTTGAAGGAACAGTATGAATGTGGCTTTGCTGTTGAGCCTGGGAACTTGCTTGAGTCTTTCCAGTAATGCCTTCAGTGTCTCTTAAAGGCTGAGCTCTTCTGAGCTTGCTTTTTCTTTGGATTCTATTTAAAAAATATGTATTAAGAAATCCACATTTCTTCTGTCTATAGACGAAAACCCACACATTTCTTGTCTTTGTATTGTGGTGGATGACCATAGATGCTGTGGTCCAGCCTCCAAAATCAACAGAAATGTAGTACTCTACCTTTCTGTTCTTTCATGACTTTCAAGTCATTTTAAGCCTTTCTGGGGCCTGAGTCACAGGTTTTGAGCACTGAGTTGGAATTCCTTGAGCTCCTGAAGACTAGTTTAGAGGAAGTCAGGGTTTTTTCTGGTACACTTTAGGGAATTCATCCTTCCTTGCTGTGTATTGAGCCTTGTGATAACAACCCATGAGAAACACTCTGGGCTTTAAGGACCGTGGCATTTAAAATGTTAGTCAAAGAGCAGGAGCCGCAACAAGTTTGCTGATCGTAGAGCACATTTTGCAGCTTCCACCTTGAGATTGAAGCCCCAGTGCAGCACCCAGCCCCTTACATAACATAAAACACATAAAACAGCCTGGGTCAGAGGGGCCCTTGAGGGCCACCCAGTCCCAATCCCACGAGGCCTTGAACACCTCCAGGGATGGGGTACTCACACTGCTCTGGGCAGCCTGTGCTGGAGCCTCACCACCCTCCAAGTAAAAAATTTCCATATATTTAACCTTAATCTCCCCTCTCTTAGTTTAAAACCATTCCCCCTTGTCCTATCACAGTCAAATAGTGTAAAAAAGTTGCTCTCCCAGCAGTTTATAATCTCCCGTCAAGTAGCAGAAGGCCACAGTAAGGTCTTCCTGGAGCCTTCTCTTTTCCAGACTGAACAAACCCAACTGCCTCAGCCTTTCATCGCAGGAGAAGTGCTCCAGACCTCTTTGTGCATGGCTAAAGCTGCAGGTCCAAACCTCAGGCTACCACAGGGTTTCCTGAGGCTGCCGTGGTATGAGAGCAGCAGGGATGGGATGGGGTGCCATGCAGCCCCACGGGCAGTGCAAAAGCAACAGCAAGCAGAAGTTCCCTATGTGCCTCTAACAGTATCAGCTTTCCATCTGGATTCAGTGGTTATTATTAAATGCCTACAAAATGAGTGAGAATCCTGCCATTGTCTCAACTGGTCTTTGAACTGGGGGCTCCTAAGCAGGGGATACACTATTCTTTTGTTCTGTATTCCCAGGATGCTTTTTTAAAAAAAGAAACTGAAATGTGGCAGTGCTAGTTTTACCCTGACCGTCAGAGTTGGAAGGGATGCTGAGAGGAGATTAAAGTCCCAGGCTTTGCAGTTCCCGTAGTAAGTTATGACTACATCAGCAGCAGTAAGCAGAACACAACGCACTAGCTAGACCAGTGTTCTATTCAAGTACCTGGGGCCCCAACTGAAATTTAATAAGCAAATGTAAGATTGTAGTGCTTTGGAATGGAAGCTTTATGGTAACCTCTTTCTGCAGACCCTTTTTAAATGACGTGTCACTTGTATGGTTCGTGCAGTGCACCTTAGATGCTGAATCCAGCCTGCTGTTGATCAGCAGTACCCCTTTCCAGGGTCAGACAGCATCAGTGTAGAGCTGTGCACGGTTCTTGCACAGGGATGGCACACCAGGCTGAAGCTAGTTTCTGGAATTTTCTGGTGCTAAATGCACTTCTGAGTTGGAATATCTGCCCTGCAGCCCCCGTTCACGTGGCTTCTGATGCTGACAGGTAAGACAAGTAGGAGAATCTGCATTGGAGATTTTTTTTTAAGTCAGGGATATTTACATAGAGCAGATCCTGGCTTTGGTGATGGGACCAAAAGGGCTTCTCCCTGACTTCTCCCAGTGCTGGTTGTTCTTAATTCTTACGTCATTCTTCAGTTCTCAAAATACAGAAGATTTCTATGAAATCCTCTGAATTTATTATTGTTTTTATTCCCCTCTCCCACAGCAAAAATTCATTTATTGCTGAAGGCATTGTCTGTCAGAGCATGTCTGAGTCACCAGTGACGATGCAGAACTATCTGATGGGAAATCAGAAAAAAGATCCTAATTTTGAATATCCATTGCCCCTGTCTCCTGTGCAGCAGTAAGTGAGAAATGTGTGCTCTCCTCTGTTTGTTGCTGGCTTGTGTTCCACTGTATCTGGTATTTAGAGTTTCTTCATTTTGATAGCTCATGGAGACTTGTCATAAGCTGTTCCTTGTCTCTCTCCAAGCATGAAAATCAAGTCCTGGGAGTTGTGCTTAGAATCAGATCGTATCAGTAGCTGTTGGCAGGAATTCACTGAGATACCAAAGAGAGCTTTACTTTTTCCCCAGTTCCCTACCACTCTTTCCCATTGGTACCAGCTGGTACAGTGCATTTGTTTCAGTTTACTCAGTACTTCCAACATCCCTTGCTGTCTTTAGGAGATGAGGAGCTGACTAGCAATTAATAAGTGCTTAGGCGTATTCAGGTATGGGTACTGAGGACAGAAATTGCATTTATTTTTTCAAACTCTTTTTCTCACACTTCTATTTATTTCAGCTTGCTCGTTTCTCTTTTGCAATCGGCAGATAAATCTTGTCAGTGTTTTTTTTTGGCTTTGCAGCGTTTTCTTTTCTTTTATATCTCCAGTAATGTGCAAATCTAATGGTTTGCTATTTCTGCTAAATGTACTTATTTCCAAGCTCTCTAATTCTTGTGCTTTTTTTTGTTCTGTTTTGTTGAGTGAGAGAAGAGATACATTTCCAGCAATCAAAAAATAAATCACCCTCAGTTCACGAAAAAACTGAACCCTTTCTAATCATTGGTATAAAAAGTAATTGTTGCATGTGAGTTCCTTGTCAAGATTGGAGGGCTGACCAGTAGAAGCCTCTAGTGATGTGTGTGCTGGATTGGAGTTGTATCACAGGTGAGCAAAACAGTACTACACGAGCCCTTACAGTGGAATGAATGCAGATGACACTGTTATTCATTCTCAGCCAGATTGCTTGGTATTGTATCCTTTCTGTGAAAAATGACACTCTGGCAACAGGCCACGGACTGCAGAGCAACTTGGCGTGGGTCTCCTGTTTGTCTCAGCCTGAGATGAACATCATCAGAGATGCCAGACTGCTAGCCACAAGCTGAGAGTGTTAGAGAATGTCTTCCTTGAATCACATTTCTGCCATTTTTAGAGAAAAATACTTGAAGGAGGATGGACATTTCCTGTCTGTTTGGATTCTTGGTGGCACCAGTGGTAGTTGTTTTCTCTCCTTTTGCTTAAGCTCTCCTAGCTGAGAGTAACTGGTAAGCTTGGTGCAGTTTACCTAACCCCAAACATGAATTATTTTTCAAAGCTTCTCATTTTCTGCTTCCCATTTTCCTTTTATTTTACTGTGTTTTAAGGGGAGTTTTTGAAAGGCCTCAAGAGATTAGGAAGACAAAACTGTTTGAATTCCGGTTGCATCTGAGCCACTATAGCTATTGCAGCGGCACCAACATGGCCAGAAACACCTTGGGATGTTTCATATGGAAACTGTGAGCTTTCACAAGATGACTGGGTACACCATGAACATAATTCACAGCTCAGTCTGGCACTGTTTTGTAACTGAGGTCTTGGTATGAAAACCTGTGTGGCCACAGGGGATTTTCGCCTTTATCCAGTAATCCACATCATAAATAAACTTTCCAGGCTCCTTGTTGAGCCCTTTTGTGAAAAACAGTTTGAAGAGAGAAAGTGGAGGAAGATTTTCCTCTTCAAAGAACAGTTAACCTATTAATTTTGTAGGATGCCTAGATATTATACAATTTGAATGTTTTTTTATTTCATTCAAGCAATAAAGTAAGATAAATAACAGCCACTGCTCTGGACTGGGAAACATTGGACTGAAAAACTGGAGTTTCTGTTCTGCCCGTTGAAACTGGGTGCTATCTGTGCCTGCCTCTATGGGGCGGGCATTTCCCTGATCAAATAGTTGTGTTTTTCTGAAGTTAGGGCAGTATCTTTGCTTTCAGCATTGATGCACCATGACATGTACAGTAGGACCTGTCATAATCCATGAAGTCAGTTCTGTTTCAATGTTAATAAGTCCTTAATCAAGCCGTTTGTTTCCTCCAGGATGTCACATTTAGCAGCGGATTGTGAAATGCTTGAGAACGGGAATTATAGGAGCATTATTTAATGCTAAGTGTTATCCACATCGTATCTGAAGCCTGAACATGCCAGGAAAACATCCTTCACACACTGCAAATAATCTATCCGAGCATTCAGGATCAATCATGAATTGGCTGGGTACGTACACTATTTCTCTTTGTGTGGCATAATGTTATACACCATATTCAGTAACGCATTCTCACATTGCTTTCTATTACCTATTTTCTATGGCTGGTGCTTTTGGTTTATATAATGATACTGCACAGTGTTTGACCAATCACTTTAAATCAAGATTGGCACTTTAAATCCAACAGAAAATAACCAAAATTTAATATCAGTAGTCCCTCATGCTAGTCTATTTGTGCTGTATAAGGAGAAAGAAGATGTTCAAGCCAAGCAGCTGCTGGTGGGTTTAAGTGGGAAGCTATCCAGAGAGACCAGGTTTATGATTTTCATCTCCTGTTCTTGGTGCTGTCTTCAAGAGGAACAGAATTAAGGGCTAAAACTGTACCTTTAATATCTAATTCCCAGAAGTCTTTCCCATTTCTGAAGAAATAAATGACACCATAGTGAACTCATGGCAAATATTTTCCCAACGCATTTTCCTTCTGTATTTAAATTACATTTAATGATATGCCACTTTGTCTTATGAACCTGTTTGTCTGCAAGCAAATGTGATACATACTGTCAGCAATGATTTATTAACAAAAAAAAAAGAAAAAAGAAAAAAGAAACTAGAAAAATAGCAATACAACCTTATCCGAGCACTATATACACTATGTATGTTTCTACAGAGCAAAGTCATTTAGTCCAAAGTTTCTGCAGTGAAACATGGAAAAGTTGTGGGTTTTCTAAACTTAGGGAACAGTTTACATTCGTATCATAAAGCTGTGTCATTGTTATGTCCTTCCTGTGAACCAGAATCCTAGTGGTAGGCATCGTGTAGACACAAGAGGAAGAGACTTGGTTGCATCTGTGGGGACAATGTTTTCATTTGGGTTTTCCACAGTTTCTGTTGTGAAGCAGTAAAGAAAGGTGGGGAAAAAAATAGGAATTCTGAAATATTTCTCCAGATTTTGTTTCCACAAATTAAAATGGCTTGGTTGCAACCAACTGATCAGAATTACTTGGCGTTTTGAGAATTTGTGTTTGCCACAAAAATGTTGTGTTCTCCTAAAAGCTATTTTTCTCCATGAAATGCTTTCTTTGAATTTAGTCCAAGTCATAATAAATACTGGAGCAATTAAAGTATCAGCCACTATAAGGAGTCTTGGGAGCAAAGGAGACAGACAGGATCAGGGCTTAAGCTACGGAAATACATGTGTGCAAAATAAAGGGTTGATAAACCTCAGTTGCAAACAAAATAGTTTACATACACTAAGCTCCCAATACTAAACATCTCCTTCTCCCTCTGCCACTAAACAACAACAACAACAAATTAGATATTCAAACTTCATATCTGAAGAAAGACAGAAAACAGAGTATTTCTATTTGTGTTTAAAAACCATTTGGATGTGGTGCTCAGGGACATGATTGTGAAGAGTTAGGGTACTATGTTTAGGTCGTGTTTGGACTCGATGATCTTTAAGGTCTTTTCCAACCTGAGTGATTCTGCGACTCTATTTTTAATTTTTAGGCAGGTGTTCATAAATTTATAATAACAGAAAAATAACACAGCATGGACAGGTTTGTGGGAAAGGTGCGGTGAGAATTTAGATTATAAACTGTCTTAATTATAAAACCTTCAGATTCCAGGCAGGCTTATGTTCAACTCCATGCGTCATAACATAGATGGTATGGGCTTTTCAGCCAAAGTGTTTGTGTCTAGGACTGAATCATACCTTCGTATTCTGCAATCAATTAAGTTGTTCTCATTTCATTCTGGTAATTGTTGCCTACTTTTTTGGGGGGTGAGGAATGGAGGGAAGAAACAGAAAATCCACTTAAAATATTTTTCATTAGAGCGTACTAATAAGTGGGTAAGCACCCTAAGTATGTTTTAATTTAATTTAGATTTCACAGCAACATTTTCCCCATGCTAATTACATGCCAGTTTGTTATTAAGAAAATATTTATTGAAGTTGAAATCAGTGATAGATACATATCTATCAGATCACTGTTAAACCTCATTAAATAGTGTTTTAATTGCAATTAGTTTTTAATTACTGCTCATTAAGCATATTATTAAATCAAAATTCCACACTTATGAAAGACTGGTTTGCAAATATAAATGTTTGAGGCTGTTAATCATAGAATTATAGAATGGCTTGGGATGGAAGGAACATTAAAGATGGAAGTCTTCAGGAGGAATCCGCAAGCGAACTATTAATATGACAGCAAACATCCATCTATCTGTGAAGTATATATGATTGTTGTACTCAAGTCCGAGCCAAGACATGTTAAAAGTCACCCAAAAAGGGAACAGATTAGGTTAGGATGTGAGGGAAAGTCCTGGAGAGTGCAGAGGAGTAGCAGGAAGAGAGATTAAGGAGACAAGAGAAACAGAGAAGCCGCGCTGCTCCTTCCCCACCAAGACAGGGAGCCCTTCTTGCTGAGCGGGCTTGAAGGCCCTTCCCAACATGGCTCATGTTCCTCGCAGAAAACAGTCTGAGGTGCTACTGTAAGCCACAACCTGGATGCACACGATAAGCATTGAATCCAACGCAGGGAGCACGAGGCCTGGCACCTGGTTTCCTTGGACAACCAAGAAAAAACTTGGACGTGATGTTACTGCGGCCTCTTTTAAAGTCATCCATGTGCAACAGCATTTCCAAACACCTCCCCTCAATTTCTACCTCCAGAAAGTAAGAAAAGTTCCCTTCCCTTGCTTAAATCTGATCTGCTGTTGCTACAACGCTTGCAAGATGCACAACGTGAGGGCCACCCTACACACACTTTAGACTAAGCAAGCCTCCCTGGGTTTTATTCCAACAAGAAACACTACAGCTCGACCAACCTCTCACGCTACGTTCAGTGACACTAATTCCCATCACGGCTGTAAGCAGCTGAGCCTTGGCATTCCAGCCCGCCGGCACACAGCCCAGCCCATCCTGCAGCCATCCCCTGCCATCATGGCGCTGACTCTGCCCCACCAAGCGGCTCATTACTGCTTGTGGGGCTCACCTGCCCGTGCAGGCATTCAGTCTGTGCCCAGCTACGCTGACAAGCAAATCTCGTGCCTCTTGCGCCTGGATTCCAAGTCTTCCAGCACTTAAAGGGAGCTTAACAGGACGGAGAGCAACTGCTCACACTGTCAGACAGAGACAGGACCAGGGGGGACAGTTTTAAGCAAAACAGAGGGAGATTGAGGTTCCACGCAAAGAGAAATCTCTTCACTCAGAGGGCGCTGAGGCCCTGGCGCTGCTGCCCAGAGAAGTGTGGCTGCCCCGTCCCCACAGGCATTCACGGCCACGTGGGATGGAGCCTGCGATGCCTGAGCTGCCGCGTGGAAACCCTGGCCATGGCAAAGGGCTGGAACTGAGCGGGCCTGAAGGCCCTTCCCAACCGAAGCCATTACGTGAGTCTAAGCATACAGAGAGATGCAGCCGTGCTTAGAATCGCTCCCAGGGAAGCCTGCCAGGGAGGGAAATCTGAAAGTTTCAGACCGTTAATGTGCAGTGATTCACTGCAGAGATCAGGCTACAGGAGTGAAATGCAAGTTTGTGACCTGAGGTAGGGAAATGAAGCTAAGAGTCAGGGCTGCAAGCTGAATGACCACATGCAGATGGCAGCATGAGATGCTTACGTGCTAGCAGGGCCATCAGCAAGTGAAGCCTTCGGGATACAGTTGTAACTGTGCCATGAAACAACTTCACCTGCCCCTGGAAAATGACTCGGAGCCGTCTGTAATCAATGCCAAGCTGAGATACCTGTGCCCCTTGGCACCTCTACAGATCTGCTGCCCTGCCTGAATTTGGAAGAACTGCTGCCACCCTGCAGGCTCTTGGCAGGGGCCAAAAGCGGTTCCAGTCCCACAGAAGAGCCTCCAGGACGATCTGGAGTGACGGAACGCAGCGTACCCGCACAGGGCCGCGCAGGATCCCAAACTGGAGGAGCGGCTGATGCAGCAGAAGGCCGTGCAGCCATCCACAGGGATCCGGGCGGGCTGGAGAAACGGCTTGAGGGGAATCCCAAGGACTGCACAAGGGCAAGTGCAAAGTCCTGCCCTCGGCGAGGAACAACCCGGGGCACCAGGGCACGTGAGGACTGACCAGATGGAAAGCAGCCCTGCAGAAAAGCCCCTTGGCCGCCAACGCTCTGCAAAGCACGCTTGGAGGCGGCTTTGGCAAGGGACATGAAGACTAACAAAGGCTTCCTTGCACAAGTGCATTGGCCAGAAAAGGGAAAGACAACGTATGGCCCCAACCAACCAATAAGTAAGACAAGAAGAGCTAATGACTAACAACTGACGTGGAGGAGGCTGAAGTTAATATTAAAATTCATAGCCCTAAGGAGGGTTACACAGTCCAATAAGAACATACAATGATGTTCATGACTCCCCACCCAACACACGTTATAAGTCACCCCAAAAGGGAACAGATTAGGTTAGGATGTGAGGGAAAGTCCTGGAGGGTGCAGAGGAGTAGCAGGAAGAGAGATTAAGGAGACAAGAGAAACAGGGAAGCCGCGCTGCTCCTTCCCCACCAAGACAGGGAGCCCTTCTTGCTAAGCTCTGCCCCTTCCCTTCCCTTCTTGGTGAACAATACCCAGGATAGCATTTGCTTTGCTAGCACCGCTATCAAACACCAGCACGGTTCACAGCTACGGCACTGGTCAATGGCAACACCAAATCCATTCCATTGGTTGCTTCAACCAATCGTTTATTTGTCACCGCTTGGGAAAATGCCCCACAGAAAGTCCTTGGCTGGACTCGGGCAGGCAAATGCCAACAACAGCAACGCCACAACAAGCGCACAGCAAAGCTCCCCCTATGCGCGCCCTTGGCGACGGCATCGCAGAGTCACAGTCAGCCCATGCGCTCACAACGGGCCGGGTGCCTCTACATACCCAGCGGGCCCAGCCCGCCTTGAGTCCTGCTGGCGACTCTCGAGGCCTGAGCGTCTTCCTCTGGGAGCACGAGACACTGAGACTTGGCCAGTGCGTGAGACAGGAGTCTTGCGAGTGGATTGCCAGCGGAG